CAAAAGCCCTAAACCCTAAACCCCCTGCGCAGATTCTGTTGCAGGGAAAAACGGGCGTTTAAACAAAAAAACCTACGCTAAACCTGAACCTCCCCCAAAACTATCCTACAAGCCCCTATAAACCCTAAACCTTTAAATTAAGGTGCTGTTGCTGCAGTGGTCGGCGACTTACTTCCCAGAGCCTCGCAGGGAGACGCTGGTGCGAGCGATGTTATGGGGTCTTTAGGGTTTAGGTTTTAGGGCTCGAGTCAGGTGTTTAGGGTTTAGGTTTCAAGGTTTGGGGGTTTAGGGGTTCGGGGGTCCAGGGTTTAGGGGTTTAGGGTTATTATTGGGGTTTGTTGTATCAGGGCTTCTTACCAGGGTCATGTCTTGGAGCTTACCTATAGTCTCCATTGGAGTTCCTTTTTGGGGTTTCCCTCGTGGGATCCTACTAATATATTTGGTTAAACCATTAAAACAGAAGGAACTGCAATGGCGACTATAGGTAGGGTTCAAGTTTCAGGGTTGCCCAAGACTCCTCTGCTAAAGACGGCGCTTTGCAAGAGTTCCCAGAGACTCCAATATCCCTTAATTAAGGAATATGACCTTAAATCATATTAGGGATCCTCCTATAATTTGAGGCTAATATTCCTTACTTCAGGAATATATCTTCAATCATATTAGGGATCCTACTACAATTTAAGGTATATTCCCTAATGAAGGGTAGACCTTAAAGCATATTAGGGATCCTACTATAGTTGAAAGTCAGTATTCCTTAATTTAGGGCCATTGGAGTCTCTGGGTTGCCGACCTAAACCCTAAAACTCCCACCCTGAACCCTCTGACCTCTTCCGCACACAAAGACGGCTCGACCCGGTTTAGAGTTTAGGGTTTAGGGTTTAGGGCCTCGAGGTTAGGGTTTTGGCCTTGGGTTAGGGTTTAGGGTTTAGGGTTTTTGTCCTTGGCAGCTAACATTTAGGGCACCCAAAAAGGGACCATATTTTTGACAACTACCCACATGAGGGTCTAGGGTCCATAAGAAGCACTCGACTCCGTCCCTCCCGAACACAGCCTTCGAAAGCAGCAATCCGAAGCCTTGAAGCACTCAAGCCTAAAACAGTGGCCGTCTTCTATCGATTAGAATAATGGGACTAGGGGGTTCGATTCCGATATAATCATACCAGAGAAGTCCGTTCCAATTATGAAGGCCCCATGTAATACATAGACCCTAAAAGCAGGATTTCCAAGAGTCTCAACCTTCTTCCCAAGGCCAAAGCTCAGGTGCCAACTGTTTTGCTCCGTCCCAACGTCTTCGCGACGAAGTCACTGTGACCCGGATGAGTGTCAAGCTACCCAGGGAGTCCAACCCCTCCATCATTAACGCAAGTTCAGTCAACAAAGCATGGCTTTTCGCTGAGAGTTTTGGAGTATTCGTCAGTCAAGGGGCATTGGGCTTCCTCAGTAAACTATGACCCTAAACCCGAAAACCCTTACCTCAGGGACAGGCAGAGGGCATTTTGTCTGAGTTCTAAGCTAGCCTAGAAAAGCACTATTCCCATGCAGTCTGTATATAATCTACCTTAAACCCGAAACCGAAAAGCCACAGTCTGACTGTCTAAGCCTCTGTATAACACTTTGTCATGGTTGGGTAACATCTTACATTGTTATGGGTACTTAAACCGAGTAAGGGAATCGATATGTACATTTTAAATCCTATCCCAACCAGGAACTAGGTGATTTGACTTTGGGTGGCTGCTGCGTCTTGAGGTAAGCTTGTACAGCCGACGCCTCGGGTCCTTTGAGACCCATAATCTTTGCTAGGATTGCTTTTTGAACTACAATAGAATCCTCAATAATTACCAACATGATTCCTTCGGGTTCCTGATTCCAATTTCACTAGAAAGGGGACCAAAACACTATTTTAATTGTTCAGGCCCCTGTATTACAAGCTGTGATCACTGGATTGCACTTTTTCTTGCGCGAGCACCATGTTTGAAGATCATGATGGTTCCTCATTTGGGGTCTCAGCCACAGCTGAGTAAGTCCTTCCTTTTCGGATACACCATCATGATCGAGTCCCTTACATGGGAGTTTCCGAAAATAGGGGACCCTAATATAGTACCCTATATAATAGGACCCTGATTATAAGGACCCCAAATTAAGGTACCCCAATTTTCGGAAACTCCCACATTGTTAGACTAGGCCCTACTTTGCCCTTAGGCTCAAGTCTCAGCCCACGGCGAATAGTCCTTGAGCCCTGAAGCCAACCCTAATTATCATGCCCCAACACCCTAAACTCTAAGCCCCTAAACACCCCAAGCGCTAAATCCCTGAAGCCAGACATCACGTAAAGATCCAGCCGAGGATGATGTGCCACGATGTGCTACGTGCCGCACAAGGAATGCAGGTACCTTACTATAGGGGCCTTAATCATTAGAATAAGGGTTTCGGGGCCCACTGTATTATAATTAGCACTAGTTCCTTTTTGGGGTTCCTATTTAGCATCCTAAAGGTTAATCCCAAAAAGGAGCTACTATGGGGCCTCTGGGTATTTAGGCCGCTATAGTACCTATTTGGCGTGGGGAGCTTAAGGGTTGAGGAGTCAAGAAGTCAGGTAGGAATTAGGAGCTTCCGGACCCCAAGTAACCTACCTTCTTAGGGTTTCCTAATATGATTTGTTTATACACGTCCATAGAAAGGTATTTGGGGTAAGGTAGGGTCTGCGATTTCTAGGAGTTACCCCAACGGTTGATGCACGGGTATGGTACATACTTGTCTGAATACGTTGAAGGCCTAAGCATATGCCATAAAGGTACATGAACCCTTCCATACTACAAAGCCAGGCCGCTCAGCAGTTAAGCACCAAAGTAGCGAGTAATCAATCAGAACAGTCCCAAGTCCCAAACCCCAAATCTCAAGTTGCAATATACGATGCTATACTATACGACACCTACGGTAATGTACTCTAGCATGCTAAAAACAAAATATAACATGATATAGTATAGCATTTACTATTCTAAAGTACGAATAACAGAACATAACTTAACATTAACTATAACATAAATTTGTATAGCAGAGCACGAGAAAGCTCTGGACTCGAAGCACTTCCAAGCAGCGGAGCGACCGTGGATGAGCTGAACTTGGTCATATGTCCAGACGCAGAAGCAGCAGGGTTTAGGATTTAGGGTTTAGGGAGAAGCAGGACAGGCCGGAAGCCCCGGACCCAAAGGGGCCCCAAGATACCCAATAAGTATATACCAAAATGATGCTTGGAGCCTTCGGGGGAAGAGTCAGAGGGACCGCCTGATCCACTCGTCTCATGCACAAGCAACGGAAAAGGCAAGCTCGCCTTCTAGCACTGGCTCCGGGAACTAGCTTTCGTCTCCATTGTAGTCCCTTTTTTGGTTTCCAAAGTGCCAAAGCCAGAGCAACGAGAACTCTGCTTGGCCGATGCCGCGGCTGCCGCTCCCTGGTATTCTAACTACTACTACTACTACTACTACTACTACTACTACTACTGCTACTACTACTACTACTAGTTACTACTACTACTACTACTACTACTACTACTACTACTACTACTACTACTACTACTACTACTACTACTACTACTACTGACTACTACTACTACTACTACTGCTACTACGACTACTACTTACTACTACTACTACTACTACTACTACTACTACTACTACTACTACTACTACTAAACTACTACAATTACAACTACTACTATTACTACTACTACTACTACTACTACTACTACTACTACTACTACTACTACTACTACTACTACTACTACTACTACTACTTTACTACTACTACTACTACTACTACTACTACTACTACTACTACTACTACTACTACTACTACTACTACTACTACTACTAAAACTACTACTAGTACTACTACTACTACTACTACTACTACTACTACTACTACTACTACTACTACTACTACTACTACTACTACTACTACTACTACCACTACTACTACTACTACTACTACTACTACTACTACTACTACTACTACTACTACTACTACTACTACTACTACTACTACTACTACTACTACTATGACTACTGCTGCTAATATTTCTTCTTCTACTACTGCTACCACTACTGTTAATTCGGTTATTACTAAAGGCAGGCAGCAAGAGGTCACAGCTACAGGCACATTTCGGGCTAAAGAAATAAGTTATTAAATAAATACATATAAATATAAACAAATAAAAAATAACTATATATACATACATATATATATATATATATACGATATAGTCACAAAGTCACAGGGCAGCCTTGATCACGGTCCCGTCACTTCGGCCCTGTCGGGTGGTAGGTGACAAAGCCTCCGCAAGCCAACGACCTTTGCGTCTTCGTGGGCTGTCCAGGCTGTGAGAGGGTTTAGGGTTTACGTGTAGGCATGAAGGCTTTCGGGGGCTTTACATACAGGGACTTAAGGTGTTGTTTGGTTTCCTAGTGATGTAAGCATGCATGGCCGGGGATCGACGGTTACACCCAAAGCCAATCTTAAATCCCACTAAAAGTTCTCTCTGTCTTTCGGAAAAAGTTCGTGCCCAGCTCTGCTGCAGCCCTTGCTTTAATGACAGTTTAAGGAAGCCTTAAAGCTAATTCCAAAGTCTCCAGGCTGCCACGTCCCGGTAGCGGCACTCGCTGCCCTCGAGGCCCCTCGCGTCGAGGCGCTGAAGGCCCAGCCAAGACCGCTCTGTCTGGTCTACCCTAAGGCCCCATAGTAGTTCCTTTTGGGTTTCCTATTTAGAATCCCATACGGTAATCCCAACAAGTAACTACTATTGGGGCCTCTGGGTGGTCTATTCGGGATTGATGAAAGAGTTCTGAGGGTTTAAGGCGAGGCATTGTTGTAGGGAGTTGTCAGGCTTTGCTGCGTTTTATATGATAGGATTCTGCAGCGGGTCCTATCGGAGTCCATTTCGGGCCTTGTGAGATTCTTAATGAATCTTACTTCAAATTTAGAGCTTCGAGTTTCAACTTTGTTGTGCGAAACTTAGACACCCAATACCGAACCTTTAAACTTTTTGGGTTCTTGTAGCTTCGTAGGAATCGGAAAATTTAACCATCTATTTCAGTGGCTTATTGGGGTAGTGCGCAAATCTTTGCAAGTCCGAGACTGCACGTGCCAGAACCGGAGGTCATTCAAAGCACCAAGCCCATCACTCTGCGACTTCCTCCCTGCCAACGCCATCAGGTAGTTACCTGGCAAGCTCGCAACCCCAAAACACTTCCAAACTGGAAGCACTCCTACAATCTAGGTGGCAATTTGGGAAACCTTTTAATTTCCCTTATGGTTCCGGTAGAGGTACCAAATTCATAAATAAGTACTTTTCAGAGCCCCGAAACTACAACCCAGCAATTCTTATAAGCCTTGAACACGAAACCCTTAAGCCCAAAGCCTAAGCCTCGAAGCAAGAAGCCTTATTGTCTCGTTTGAAAATATGCAACCCGACGTCCTCTTCAGCTTTAAAGTAAAGACCTTGCCGCCACATATAGCACCATGAAGCCTGAGCTTCACGAAACCTGGTGACGGCTTCAATCTGCAGGACAACGTTTGCGAACAAAGTCTTCTCATACACTCATGACACGCCGTGTTAAACATCCCGATAATTACGAACAAACCTCATGAAGATCGGCTGTATAAACCTCCATGAAACCCGGAATCCTAAACATTAAACGGCCCTGAACCAAACCCAAATTCCAGGTTTTGCGCATCCCTCAACCCTAAACTTTACACGGCCCTGCCCAGAGGGCCCCATAGTAGTTCCTTTTTGGGATTATTAGTTTATAGGATTCTACACAGGAACCCCAAAAAGGAACTATTATGGGGCCTTAGGGTAAACCTCTGAGTTCCAGGTCTTGCGTCGCCGGGCAATTGAGCAGCAGCGGCGTCTCGTGGTCGTCTTCGCCTCTCAGAAACTCCTGGAGGACCCTCATCTTTGCATGGCAACGCGAGAGAACTTGTACGGTTTAGTCGCATGTTTCATGGGGATGTCCTTTGGATCTGGTGTTATACAGGGGTTTCGGAGCTTTTGAATGGTTTCCATGGGGTTTTGCGATGGCTGTCGGCTTCTATTCACTACGCTCGTCGGCTTTTATGGGCCCTTTGAGGCACTTTGGATGTTGTCTATCTGTTTCCTGTGTTTGGGCGGGGAGGCGTGGGGAGTGGTCCTTGTGTTCTAATGTATACCCAGAGGCCCCAGAATAGTTCCTTTTTGGGATCACCTTATAGGATCCTACATAGGAACCCCAAAAGGAACTTCTATGGGGCCTTAGGGTAGGGTTTACACGAAGGTGACTGCTTTTCTTAAGCTCCCAGTGACGTTATTGGAGGATCTTTTTGGACTTGTCGGTAGGCCCCCTGTAAATTTGATTTTCGGGTCTGTAGTCGGGGCTTGGGGTTGAGGGTTCAGACCTTACACGAAAGCAGGCTTCGTAGCTTTCGGGGCTTCAGCTACTCGGATTTTTGGTTTGCGTTTTGTTCTATTATGTCGTCGCTATCAAGGGGTCTTAACCTACTGTTGTGTAGGGGCTAGAGGGTTGCACGTAAATAGTCCTAAATCTTCTAATCTAACCCAGCTACAATGGCGATAAGAGTTCAGAAAGTACAAGAAGGAGTCGTAACAAGGCAGAAGGTGGGAAGACTGCCAGCAAACAGCCATCGGTAGGACGGATGAAGAAGGTTAGCGTCGTTATTTGGCATTGTCACAAGTATGCACATCCTCACCATGAGCACCGTCAGCAACAATGACAGTAGCCAGCAAGCCTCAAACCACCTTCCACCCCATGCTGTTTAGCATAGCAAGTACTTACACAACTCCCCGGGCAGAGTTGTCTAACTCCTAACGAGTCTAACGTAGGGCCCGGTAGCTGAAGGATCGGTTATTTGGGGCCAGAAGCCCTACCCTAAGCTACCACAGTTTTTGACGGTACACCAGCAATACAGAAGTTGAAAGGACCCTACAACAAATATGTTTTGGCAGTGCCCCAAATGCAAGGCCATCGCGGCAATCATCGGGGCTGATTGCAGCGGAAAGGCCAAGCCGGAAACTAGCCATCTAGGGTCGTTAAGGGTTCTGTTGGAGTTCTACACTTAAGGGATCGGTAAGTTTTCTGTTTTGCCCAGAGAGCCCAAGACCCCTTAATTAAGGCATATAGCTTAAACCATAATATGAAGCCCTGTATAATTTAAACCATATTCCTTGATCAAGGGGTATTGGGCTCTCTTTTGAGTCCTCAAAGCAATACTAGGATGCCCAGTAGTACCCTTATTCCCTGTTTGTAGTCCTAGGTTCCTTATAAAGTTACCCAATACCAAAAAGAGAGGCCTTTTTATTCTTAGGTCACTGGGTATCCTTAATAAGGACCCCTAGGTATATACCCTTAATATAGCTATTATATACCCATTATATAGCCCATTATAGGGTAGGGGCCCCCATTAAGGGTATCCTAGCTTAGGTTACTGGGTATCCTAGAATAGCCCCCGAGCAGCTAGGGCTTTAGAGGGTCGGAGCCCTGAAGAGTCAAGGACGACGGTTGAGGGGCTAGGGTTTAGGGTTTAGGGTTTAGGGGTTTAGGGTTTAGGGTTTAGGGGTTTAGGGGGTTAGGGGTTTAGGGTTTGCGGGTTCCCTCCCAAAGGGTCCAAGTATCATTATGGTATACAGTAGAAGCCAGAAAGTTGGAACATGGCTTTAGGAGGATTTCTGCTAGGATCCCTTATACTGTACTTTAACGGCATGAGGCTACTGATGTTCCAACTTTCTGGCTTCTACTGTATACTTAGACCACCAAAATACCCTATAAGTATATACCATAATCATACTTGGACCCTTTGGGAGGGAACAGTGATCAACAACGCATCCGGATGTGTTATCACACGTCAACGGCTCAACCGAGGAGTTTCAGAGGCCCTGATCTAGAACGGCATTTACCCAGAGGCCCCATAGTTCCTTTTTGGGAGTACTTTATAGGATTCTAAATAGGAACCAAAAAAAGGAACTACTATGGGGCCTTAGGGTAAGCCCTACTACCACCTTAACGAAAGCTAAACACTGCGGGAACAGCCAGGCCAAACCCCTAAACCCTCAGCCTTGCATCGCTCATCTCCTTCAAGCAAGGTCCGCAGCAGACAGCCCAAAATAGCTTCAACCCTGCTACCACAGAACCCTAAGCCCCAAGTTCTAAATCTTAAACCCCGAAGCCTAAGCCCTATAAACCGTACACCCTAAACCTTAAACCTCAAACCCTGAACCCTACACCCCAAACCCGAATCGAACAGCCAATAGCTTACCGTTGGTTAGTAGGGAATGGAAGAATGGTAGTAATAGTAGTTATACTTATACCCCATTCCTCCATTCCCTACTAACCAACGGTAAGATATAACTACTATTACTACCATTCTTCCACTCCCTACTCACCAACGGTAAGACTCCAAATCCTGTACATAGACCCCAAACCCTATACCTTCAACCCCAATCCTCAAATCCTATCAACCCTATAACCCTATAAGCCCCAACCCCGAATCGAACGGCCAATAGGTGGCCAGCAAAGCGGAAGTCGTCGCCGTGGCGGCGCTGACCCCGCCGATGAAGTGCGAGCAGCTGCTCCGCAGGCGGCACGTGAGGGTCCCTTTAGGGGATTCCTAGTGGGTTCCTTTAAGGGCTCCTTTAAGGGATTCCTAGGGGGTTCCTTAAAGGGTCCCTTTAGGGGATTCCTAGGGTTTTTTTAAGGGCTCCTTTAAGGGATTCCTAGGAGGTTCCTTTAAGGGCTCCTTTAAGGGATTCTTAGGGGTTCCTTAAACGGTCCCTTCAGGGGATTCCTAGGGTTCCTTTAAGGGCTCCTTTATGGGATTCCTAGGGGGTTCCTTAAAGGGTTCCTTTAGGGGATTCCTAGGGTTCCTTTAAGGGCTCCTTTAAAGGGATTCCTAGGGGTTCCTTTAAGGGCTCCATTTTTTTAAGGGCTCCTTTAAGGGATTCCTAGAGGGTTCCTTTAAGGGCTCCTTTAAGGGATTCCTCGGGGGTTCCTTTAAGGGCTCCTTGGAGGGATTCCGAGGGGGTTCCTTTTAGGGCTCCTTTAAGGGATTTTAGGGCTCCTTTAAGGGATTCCTAGGGGTTCCTTTAAGGGCTCCTTTAAGGGATTCCTAGGGGGGGTTCCTTTAAGGGCTCCTTTAAGGGATTCCTAGGGGAGGTTCGTTTAAGGAATCCCTTTAAGGGATTCCTAGGGGGTTCCTTTAAGGGGTTGCTCTAAGGGTTGCTTTAAGGGGTTCCATTAAGGGATTCCCACGGGGTTCTGTGAAGGGTTCTTGAAGGGATTCCTACGGGGTTCCTTTAAGGGCTCCTTTAAGGGATTCCTAAAAGGTTCCTTTAAGGGCTCCTTTAAGGGATTCATAGATTTTTGTTTAAGGATTTCTTCAAGGGCTTCATATGGAATTCCTTTAAGGACTCAGGGTTTAGGGACTTGGGGTTTATAAGGTTTGGCGTCTTGTGTTTGTAAGGTTTGGGGTTTTTAGGGTTTAGGGTTTGGGGTTTAGGGTTTAGAGAGTTTGGGAAATACAGAATATTATTCCAAAAGCCTTTTCTTATAATTCAGGCCCCTACATTAATAGGGTTCCTTTAAGGACTAAGGGTTTAGGGTTTACAAGGTTTGAGGTTTAGGCTTTATAGGGTTTAAGGTTTGTGGTGTAGGGTTTAGGATTGGGAGTTTAGGGTATATAAAGTTTGGGGTTTTGGGCTGTGGGGTTAAGGATTTGGAGTTTAGGGTTTATAGGGTTTGGGGTTTAAGGTTTGAGGTTTATATGGGTATAGAAGCCTCAATAATTGCAAACATTATTCGTCAGAGTTCCTCGTTATATGTATACTATAAACGAGCCCCAAACCCTATTCTAATGTTTAAGGCCCCTACATTGGGGGTTCCTTTAAGGACTAAGGGTTTAGGGTTTAAGGTTTGGTGTGTAGGGTTTATAGAGTTTAGGGTCATGGGTGTAGGGTCTACAAGGTTTAGGGTTCAGGTTTTGGGGTGTAGGATTTGGAGTTTGTAAGAGTTACCTCAAGGGCTCGTTTCCCTCAAGGCTCCACCCAGAGACCCCAATACCCCTTGATTAGGGAATATTCCTTAATTCATATTAGGGATCCGACTATAATTTAAGGTATATTAAACCCTAAACCCTAAACCCTAAACCCTAAGCCCTATCGTATATTCCCCAATTAAGGGATATTGGAGTCTCTGGGCATGTAGCTGAAACCCGAAGCCGAAGCCGTCAACCCGACACCTGCTACCCTCCCAGGAACCCCCCCCAAAGAGGGCACGTTGAATAAAGTGCTTGTGGCCCTTAATGGTAGGTATTCTGCTTGTTCTTCTAACTTAATTTTTATCTTCTTTCTGTTTTTTTACCGTAATTTTTTGGGTTGTATAAGAGGGTACTTGGGGCGGTCTAGACCTTGAGCCGAAGTCTTATCAGGAGTGCAACCGCGCTGGTGCATGAGACTGCGCTGATCTTCCACGGCAAGGCCTCTGTGTGCGCTTCTGGGGTAGTTAGGTCATGGGGCCCGAAAGGCCTAAGTTTCGGTTCAGGGTGAGTTTAGGGTGTAGTGTAATTAGGCTGTGGTGTTTGGGGTTTAGGGCATTCGGTGCAGTCGTTGAGGATTATAGGAACTAGGGCTTACGATGCGGGCTTTGGGGACAGGGTTTGTCTAGTGCAACACACAGTCAAGGTCAAGCAGAAAACTTTTAACCTATACTGTTACTGAACACGATTTGCAAAAGGAAGGCGAAGCAAGAGGGTAGAGGATTTTGGGGTGGATTTCAGGGTCGGGGGTTTGCGGGGATTTCGCGAACTCTGGAAGCATGACGTAAGACGTAACAATCACATTCCGTTTCCTGGTAAACGCCGTGCCCAGTCCTGCCTCTTCGTCAATAAGGACCCCCCATAAGTTAACCCTACACTGCGAAGGTGTAGATTGCGCTATGAAAGTGAACGTACCTTGTGACAAGTTTTCTCAAGGATCCTTCTATGCTGCAAGGCCCGAAGCCTTACACCCTAAACTGTGTACACCACATTTCCGGTTTCGTAGGTTCTCTGAGCTCGGCCTACATCGCCCCTGGATTTGTTTTTGGAGTTGTACGTGTTTGAGGTATGGGACCCTGCTTTCCCAGAGACTCCAATATCCCTTAATTAAGAGAATATATATTAAAATGTAGGAGGCGCCTCCCTAATATGAGTTAAGGAATATTTCTCAATTGAGGGATATTGAAGCCCCCTACACCCTAAACCCTATATAGATCCCTTTTAGTGGCCCTATATAGAACCGTTTAAAGGAAGTCTCTGGGTACACGAATCCTCAGCCTTAATAACGGGGACGCCTAATACGTTTATAGGCTTACCTGGACCCTAAGGGGACCTACCTTTTCTAGGGTTCCCTAATATGATTTCTTTATATAAGTCCTTAAAAAGGTAGCTTCTTTGGGGTTAAAGTAAACCAAGGTCTTGATACCCGAACCATAAAAAGCCTCAAACCCAAAATCTTGAGCTAGAAAACCCTGCAGCCTTGCTGTGTGTTTTTTATCCGGAGGTGGCAACCATCGAGCGCCGTGGTGGCAACTGGTGTAAGATAGGGACCTGTGGCCCACAGCTATGACTGATATCTTAGTAGCAGTGTCCCCGTCTATAGTCCGTAAATCCGCATCTAGTCCCTATATGATCGTTGTAATACAGGGACCGAAAGAATTACCTATACTATTTTGGTGGTTCCTGATTATTGTATAGTTATAGTAGAATATATACCAAAGCACTATTCTGACTATTAGGGGTTTCTATCTTACATGATCGTAATGTTGTACGCTCTGCAACCTTATTCTCATCCCCTAAAGCTCTCAACCTCATCCCCGCGAGCCCTAAATTGCTAGACCCCTAAAGAGCCCCTAAGGGTCCATGTGCCCAAATAGAATATAATGTATTTTGGGCTTCATGTATCTATATATAGGGACAACTTTTAAGGCCAGGGTATATAGTATTTGGGTACATGGACTTTTAGGGTCCTTAACCCTGGTGAGCCTTCATGTCCCCGCACCCAAAAAAACCCATGCCGTAGCCTCTCGGGATGTCTTTAGCTGAGGAAGTTCCGCAGGTTTCGCCGGAGGGGTTGGGGTTTGGGCTTCGGTGTTTAGGGCTAAGTGAGTTGGGATTTACGGTTTGCGGCTTAGTAAGTTGGGATTTGCGTTGGGGTGTAGGGATTCGAGGTCTGTGCTACTTTTGCAACTTTTGCCCTGATTACCGACGATGCCCAACCTCGTCGTGAAGCAATACGCTGGGCAGCAACCAGAGAAGCCTCTATCCGGCCATTGCGATGATCAAAGGGGACAAGGAGGGACCCTTAATGGGGACCCCTACCCCATAATGGGGCTATATAGTGGGTGTATAACAGCTATGTTAAGGGTAAATACCTAGGGGTCCTTATTAAGGGTCCCTCCTTCTACCCTTGCAGATGAGATTTCTGGGCAAGATGCAAAATTCGCACTCGATGCTCAGGATGTTGCGCATGCCTGTAGCGAAGCAGAATAAAGATCTTGTTTACAGAAGCATGTGCTGTTGTTGCTACTCCGTACACACCGGCGGCTGTAGTTTGTGCTGGGTACCGCCCGGAAATACTTCTCCCTCTGGAAAGAGGTGAGGTGGGCAGGCACACAGTCCAGACCAAAGAACGCCTTTCGGTCTACACGACACTGCCGCTCCTGCACCCCCTACCTGAACTCTCGACCCTACCTATAGTCTCCATTGTAGTTCCTTTTGTTGGTTAACCAAAATCCCTCTAGGTGTTGCTTTCGGACATTTTTTATTTTTGCCTTTTTTTGCCCGGCCTTGGATCAAGTCACTACAGAAGAAGTCATTAAGAGATTAGTCGTGGTAGTAGTAGTAGTAGTAGTTGTTGTTGTTGTTGTTGTTGTTGTTGTTGTTGTTGTTGTTATGACTACTATTATTCAGATTTCAGACCTTGGGGCTCAAGGTCTTAAGATTTGGGGTTCAGGGGGCTTTTGGTTGAGGGTTCACGGTTTAGGGTTCAGGGTTTAAGGGTTTTTCAGTTTAGGGTCTAAGTACACTAACTAGCACTGTATTCTGATACTCTTATGTAATTATAATCGTAGTAGTAGTTGTTGTTATTGTTATTCAGATTTCAGACCCTGTCTATTGGGGCTGAAGGTCTTAGGGTTTGGGGTTTAGGGGGCTTTTGGTTGAGGGTTCAGGGTTTAGGGTTCAAGGTTCAGTGTTTAAGGATCTGGCTAGCCCCAAGCCCAGTAGTAAAAAAAAGGGTTTAAGGGGTCTTTCAATTAGGGTTTAGGTTTTACGGTTTCAGGGGTTTAAAATAGGGTTCCGGGCTATGCAGTACATACTCAGGCGTCAAAGTACCTGTATTATTGAAGGCTCAAGTATTGGGATTTAGTTCTAATAGCAAGGTTTGAATTTAGGGCTTGTAGAACTTGAAGCCCGAAATCCCTAAACCCCCCATTCAAACCCGATGCAACGAACCCCTAAAGAAGCCCTGTACTAGTTAGTGTACTTAGACCCTAAATTGAAAAACCCCTTTAAACCCTGAATTGTAAACCGTGAACCCTCAACCAAAAGCCCCCTAAACCCCAAGCCCTAAGACCTTGAGCCCCAATAGAGAATGGTCCGCCGCTGGGCGCCCCTCCATCGCTGGGCGCCGTCGACAACATCGAGGTGCCCGGGGAGAGTGGGGGCTTTTAAGTATTCAAAGGGGTTAGGCTGTAGTAAGGGTTTATATAAGGTTTGGATTATGGATGGTTTAGAGTTTAAAGCTTCACTTAGGGAGTTTCGGGTCAAGGGTTGTGTGCATTGGGTGTTGTCGGGTGTCAGACTCGGGTTTGGGGTAGGGGGTTATTTGCGGGAGGGATTTGGGTTTGAGGGGCATGTGCGGCTACCGTAACATTTCAGCGTCAGCCCTTAGGACTTTGGACATGTCATGTTACCATTTTAATCATTAGGCTTACCTTCGACTTTAGATGTTTTATTTCAGATTCAGTTCCTAGGTTCATGGGCATTGGCGATGAGCGCTTAGGCGACTGATTCCGATAAGGTGACACTTACACTCACAGCTACCTAGGCCTAGGCGATTGCAGGCGCAGGTAGTTGAAGGCGTAGGCGCAAGGCGTAGGCGCAAGGCGTAGGCGCAGGTGCAGGCGCAGGTTTAGGCGCAGGTGTAGGCGCATTCGTAGGCGTAGGCGCATTCGTAGGCGTAGGCGTAGGCGTACTCGCAGCCATGCCGCCTGTGGCGTTTCCTGGCCTGCCCTCCATGCCGGCGATCCCGGATGGAAGCTTCATCATAGCATGGGGGGCGGAGCACGAGTACAAGGCGACCGGTGCCTTGAGTCTGATTAAGAAATAGTCTTATTTATGAAATCTGTTCACTTATGTGATATAATAATAAGTCATACCAACTTTAAGTCAGTACTATGAATTTTCGATAGTTCTAGTAATAGCAATACCAATGTGGAGACTTATGCGGATGATAAGCATCATACCGTACTTCTCCAAGCAATAGCTACATTCTTATACTATTTGGGTTTTGATATTTGGGCCTCAATGCGGAGGCGCTGGCGGAAAAGGGAGGTCGATGATGACTGGGTATCTGAAGCGGACCTACCCGGATCACGTCCACATGTCGCTTGACGTGAGGCAAATGATGAAAGACCCTGCCAGGGAGCAGGAGAAGGGGCAGGCGAAGGCGTCGGCGTCGGCGGGGACGCGCGGGCGATCCAAGTCGCCCGGGCCGTCCCGGGCGGTGAAGGGAGACTTGGATTTTCAGGTATACGTTGTTTCTTGTATTTGGGAGTAGGGACACCGCTTGAGTTCAGTTGAGGGTTCGTGGTTAAAGTTTAATAATTTGCTACGGATGCCCACCCAGGCGAGTGGAATCCTCAGAAGAACGAGGATTTCCTCTTGGCGATGATGGACGAGCCTGGCTTTATGCGGGCGTTCATTACGGCGGTGGCGATGCTTCTTGGTTACCTCAAGGGGTTGGCGGCGTTCGATGGCGATCTCTGGAAGGCGCCGGTGCTGGTGCAGCTGATCTGCACCCTGATTGTATACAGCCTAGTTTTTTCTTAGTTTTTTTCTGTAATTTTCATTGGAGCTCTAAACCTCAAGTCATTTAAGCCTTTCATCAGGTGCGGCGGGGAAGCACAGGTCGGCGAGCGTGGCGGTGGCGCTGGCGATCCTTTTCAACCTTCAGTTTGAACTGCCCTCCCACAGTGAGACGGGGGTGTATGGCGTTGGCGATATCCCTCTCACACAGAGGGGCAAGGACAAAATCATCGCGGCGGTGAACGAGGTGGGGAGGAAGCTCGGCATTAAGGCGGACTCCCCACCCAAGGCGCCGGCGACGACGAAGGCACCGCCAGCAGCGGCGGCTCCGCCGGCGAAGGCGATGCCAACGACGAAGGGTGACTCCAAGGGCTCCCAGGCGGCGGCGGCGGCGCCGGCGGCGGCGGCGGCGCCGGCGGCTGCTACGGATCTGGCTCGGTGTTGTTGTAAAAAGTTGCTGTTGTGGGTTTAGTACTTAGGCATAGGTTCGGTTATATATGTGGGGTAACACATGTTTGCACTTTGGGTGTCAAGCAATTCTTAACCAATCACCTTTCCAAGGCTAAGGGGTCTAAGGCCTATAAGTAGTTAAGCTGGAATCCTGGAAGGTGCGCCAAAGTGTCCTGAGCCATTCGCCGGCGCTTTACAGTGTCCTGGAAGAGCTGGAGGTTGATCAGCGGACATGGTCGGTTCCCAGGCTTATGTTATCCTTCCTGATCCCAATAGACTTAGATTTATTTTAATAATTATTAATGGCTTCTAAGTTCTAAAACCCTGGATTCTCCTGAGTAACCCTGAATCACAAGACTAGCTTTGAAAGCCTGTTAGAGGAAACGCCAACTTCTAATGTTAAAACTGGTTTATGGATTGGACCTGGGCACCATGAACTTGCCCCCAAACTAAGGTGGCGTCGGCGATGGTGCTCATGGCGGGCGGCGTGGCGAAGGCGAGCGAGATTGTCGGCTTTGTCGACAGCAGCTTGGCTGGTATTTGGGCTAGAGCAATCCAAACCCCTACACCCCCAGACCTTGAAGCCAATTGGCCCTAAGAATGATGAAGCTTTTAAGAAAAGATAGCAGGAATCCAAAACAAGCTCTTGTTTCAACCCCCCCCCCGGAACCCCTAGTACCCTCGAACCCAAAGCTATTTGGAATTGTTTCGATGCACTAAGAAGCTCGCAAGCTTGACACTGGGCTGCCCGAGTGGGGCAACCGCAGCGCGAATTTGACGCGGGCGATGTCGGAACGCATCGATATTTTGAAGCAGCGGTCCAACCAGGCGCCGGCGTCTGAGAGCGGGAGCAGCTTGACTTAAAGCCCAGAGTTGTTGGGGTGTCTATGTTGTTTCGTTGGGATTTGGGATTTATGTCTTTCAGGACCAATAACATGATCCCACTGAGGCGGTCGGCGCGGGCGCACGCCTGCGCGTGGCAGTGACGATCACGGCTGGAAAGGCGGCCACAAAGGCGACGGCGGCAAAGGCGACTA